GTGCTTTAGGGTTGCCGGGCAGTGACAGAGATGCCCACAGAGGGGTGGGCGAGGGAATGAAGATGCGCTGCTGTGATGATCCCATGTCGATAAACACACACTGACACCCGCGGATGGAGCTATGTGCGCATCACACTGCATGTCCTTTGTGTGCCTCTCTGTCTCTCTATTGCTGCTGATGTGTATGTGTGTGTGGGAAGGAGAGAGAGAGATGGGATTGAGATGCTTGCTTGATGCTGCCTGCGTGTGTCGGTGTGCTGACTGTGAGTGGCGTGGTGGTCAACTTACACAGTCAGTGATGATCATCGCTCTCTGTGTGGTGGCCGTCGAGCGGCTGACATACACAGACAAACACACAAAGGGAAAGGAACCGCGAGCTGCCCTCTCTAAGCCGTTCTCTCGGCCGAATGCGCCACACTCACAACGCACAGCTGTCCGAAAGGCACACGCCGCCATAACTCAGCTCGTAGGGTTAAGGGTTTGAAACCCTATAGCCCCTCAAACCCTCTGGCTGTGCCGCCCTGTTGTCGCCCTGCCCCACCACGGGTCTGCCAATTGGCTCCTTGTCAGCCTTACTCACGGCCCTGCACGAGATCTGTCAGCTGTCCTCTCTCTGTCGGCACACAGGCGGCTGTTGGCGGCTGCTGGCGGCACAGGTGGACGTCATGCACACGACGGCCGCGTCACACGCCGAAATGATGCATGTGCTGTCTGGACGGTTGGTGCCTGGATCTGTGTGTGGTGTGCTGCAGACGTCGTGCGGTGTGTGAGGTGCAGCGGTGTGACGAAGGAGTGAGGACACTCCAACAACTGGTACGCAGAGACAGATGGGCACACAGCGGGACAGGCGGGACTCACACGCACAGATGTCTCCTCTCTCTGTGTGGCGTGTGTCATCTGAGCGGATGCAGGTGGCTGATGGCGATGATGTGCTGAAGGGAGAGAGATCGGCCGATGAGCCGACGGACGGGCTGACTGAAGTGAACTGAATCTCTCACTCTGTCGCCTTTTGGTCGTATGTGCGTCGATCTCACTGTGTTGTGTTATGGGGCTTTGCGTGTCGGTCGGTCTGGCTGCCATTATCATGTCTCCTTCTCGTTCTCTCACTCCTCAGCCGTCTGCTGCCATGAGTGTGTCGGCTGATGAGTGGGGGGCGGGGGAGAGATGACAGACAGACAGACAGACAGACAGACAGAGAGGGAGGGAGGGAGGATTGGCTGGCTGGCTGCACAAAGGAATCGCTGTGTGGGGTGGCGGTGGCCGTCTGTCTGTTATGCAGCTCAGTGTGACGACTGCTGGCGAGAGTGTGTTGATCTCTCGTCGATGCATCCGTCACACACGGCCGGCTCACAGACAGACAGACCGACACACACACTCAAAGAGAGAGACCGTTTTGGTTTTGCCAGCTGTGTATGGTTTTCTTCGCGTGTGTGTCCCCCCCCCCCCTCTCTCTGTGGGCATCTCTGATGTCGGTCGGCAATCTGGAGCGTCAGCCCACGAAGGGTGTTGGTGCTTTAGGGTTGCCGGGCGGTGAAAGAGATGCGCACAGGGGGGCGGGCGAGGGAATGGACAGGCACATGCAGAGAGAGAGC